CTAACTAACTAACTAACTAACTAACTAACTAACTAACTAACTAACTATACACACACACATATACATACACACATATATATATGTATATATCTCCTAGGGGCTCTGAATACTCCCTATAGGACCCTCTGCAGGTTTCTCTGTGTTTGACTTTCCCTTTCCCATGATTTATTTGCTTGATTCAAAAGTTGGTTGAAAGTTCTCCTAAGCTCTGTCCCGCCCAACAAACCAGCCAAACCAGTTTCCTCACCCTCCAATCTTCTGTGCTGAGCAAACACTGCTTTGCAAACGGTTGACCAGGAGCTTGTCTTTGTTAAAAAAGGCAACCCAAAGGCATTTTCTTTCCTAGAATGCTGGCTGCAGTGGGTTTGCTGTGGATTAGAGAGGGCTCAAATGGGGCAGAAGTGGGGTACAGAGTAGCTGGGGGCTGGGAGTTCAGGATGGCCTCAAGTTGTTCCCAAAACCAGTTTTCAGGACTATTTCATAATACACAAGCTTAAGAATGCCTCTCTGTTGATCCATTGCAAAATGCTCTCTGGCCCACTTTTGAGACTGTGGTTCACCCCGACATGGACAAGCATTTAATCACCTGAGGCCATTCACAAATACAGATTTACCCTCATACAAATTTACTGAACCTCAAACTCAGAATGATCTGCCTGCCTCAGCCTCCCAAGTGCTGGGATTTTAAAGGCCCATGACACCACACCTGATGGATACACATTCATTCTCCCAACAGGCTAAGAGTTAGGGCACCGATGTTTGATGAGTCAACACCTGGTGCCAGCCAGGGTGTGGGCACCTGGCCGCCTACCCTGAGGCCCAGGATCCAAGAGCACCCCTGGTCAACGGTATCGGGGGGGCCCCCAGAAGTGTAGCCAGTGCACCAGAGGTCGAGCGTCTGTCCTCAGGGAGGTTCTGAAAAATCTCTGCTTATAGAGGCTTTCACAGGCCATTTGTGGGGAGGAGCCAGCAGGCCACGTGTGTTGTACCTGCTGGGCCTTGGTGAGTAAGAGGGTGTGACCACGAAAGTCACAGGCTCCCCGTCATTTGCTAGTTTTCTCTGGTTTTTCAAGACAGGGTGTCTCTGTGTCACTCTGGCTGTCCTGGAACTCGCTCTGTAGACCTGGTTCACCTTAGACTCAGTATGAACAAAGGTTTATATGGCACTGAGACTTGCTCCTCACCCAAGGCTTTCCCGGCATAGGTCACTCTTGTGTAGCCTTCTCAGGATCTTCTGTGGAAATGGCAGGAATAGTCTCGGTGCAAGCCAAATGAGCGTGAGGCACTGGCTTTTATCCTTAGCCCCCAGGAAAAGCAGTCTTTTCCCAGTTTCTACTGCCCGCTGCCAAACTCCTGACATTCCATGGAGCCTATTTCCCTTCCCAAGGGCAGTGGAACCCACTTCCTTTCCTGAGGCCCGGGATTCCCTCCTCCAATACTGGAAAGACATCTCTGTGCCTCAATCTCATTAATTTTTGTGATGTTAAAATTCAGGTGTTTTTTTTTTTTTTTTTTTTTTTGCCTTTGAACTGTCTTTGCCTTCTTTGCTCAGCCCATTCTTCCCTTTATTGTGATGTTGGAGACCCAACCCCAGGGTTCTCCTGCATCCTAGGCAGGTCCTCCGCCTTTGAGATGCATCTCCATCCTTTTACTTGTTAAAACTTTGATTTGAGGCAGGGGCTCGCGTTTCCCAGGCTGGCTCTGAGCTGGCTCTGCA